TAAGTTTGACAATGTTCCTTCTGTTTCTATTTTGTGGAATAGTTTGAGTATTGATACAAGCTTTTCTTTGATGTCTGGCAGACATTCTGTGCTAAAACCATCTAGACATGGGCCTTTTTTGGTTGGGAGACTTTTAGTGACTGCTTCTATTTCCTTAGGGATTACGGGACTGTTTGAACTGTTTACCTGATCTTGATTTAGCTTTGGTAGGTGAACTCTATCCAGAAAATCATCCATTGCCTTTAGATTTTTCAATTTTGTGGAATATAGGGTTTTGAAGACCTAACGACTTTTTGGATTTCCTCATTGTATGTTATTATGTCCCCCTTTTGTTTCTGATTTTGTTAATTTGGATACTCTCCTTCTGCAGTTTATTTTGGCTAAGAGTTTGTCTATCTTGTTGATTTTCTCAAAGAACCAGCCCTTCGTTTCATTGATTCTTTGTATCATTCTCTGTTTCCAATTTATTGATTTCATCCCGAGTTTGTTGTTTAGTCGCCTTTGGTGTGTTTGCTTCTTTCTCTTCTAGAGCTTTCAGATGAGCTGCTAAGTTACTAAATGGGATCTCTCCAATTCTTTATTGGGTGCTTTGTGCTATGAACTTTCATTGTGTCCCATAAGTTTGGTTATATTTTGCCTTCATTTTCTTTGAATACTAGAAAGTTATTAATTTCTTTCTTTCTTTCTTCCATTACCCCATGGTCTTTGAGTAGGGAGTTGTTCAGTTTTCCATGTTTGTAGGCTTTCCGTTGTTTCTATTGTTGCTGAGTTCCAACTTTAGTCCATGGTGGTCTAATAAGATGCAGGGGGTTATTTCAATCTTTTTTTTTTTTTTTATATCTGCTGAGGCTTGCTTTGTGACTGATTATATGGTCAGTTTTGAAGAATGTTCTGGGAGGTGCTAAGAAGAAGGTATATTCTCTTGTGTTTGGATGAAATGTTCTGTAGATATGTTAGGTGCATTTGATTCATGATGTCTGTTAGTTTCTTTATTCCCCATTTAATTTCTGTCTTGATGATCTGTCCATTGGAGAGAGTGGGGTGTTGAAGTCTCCCACTATTAATAGGTGGGGTTTGATGTATGACTTAAGCTTTAGTAATGTTTCTTTTACAAATGTGGGCATCTGTATTTGGAGCATAGATGTTCAGAATTGAGACATCATTTTGGTTGATTTTTCCTTTGACATGTATGAAGTGTCCTTCCCCATATCTTTTAATTTTTGTTGAAAGTCTATTTTATTAGATACTAGAATGGCTACTCCAGCTTGCTTCTTGGGTCCATTTGCTTAGAAAATATTTTCCAGCCCTTTATTGAAGTAATGCCTATGTTGCTGAGGTGTGTTTCTTGTATGCAACAGAATGATGGGTCCTGTTTCCCTATCCATTTTATTAACTTTATTTTTTTTAAATTAGGGAGTTGATGCCATTGATTTTGAGAGATATTAATGACCAGTTATTGTTACTTACTGTTATTTTAATGTTGGTGGTGCTAGTGTATGTGTGTGTGATTCTTTCTTTTGGTTATGCTGATGTGGGTTATTTATTACCTGTGTTTTCCTGGGTGTAGCTGGCCTCCTTGGGTTGGAGTTTCCCTTCTAGTTATCTTTTGTAGGGCTGGATTTGTTGACAGGTACTGTTTAAATTTGTTTTTGTCATGAAATATCTTGTTTGTTTGTTTTTTTTTTTCTCTCTGTGGTGATTAAAAGTTTTGCTGGGTAAAGTATTTGGGTCTGACATCTGTGGTTTCTTAGTGTCTGTAAGATATCTGTCTAGGCCCTTCTGGCTTTTAGAGTTTCTGATAAGAAATGAGGTGTAATTCTGATAGGTTTGCCTTTATGTGTGACTTGGCTTTTTTCTCTTGCAGCTTTTAATATTCTCTTTGTTCTTATATTTAGTATTTTGATTATTATGTGGTAGGGTGATTTTCTTTTCTGGTCCAATCTATTTGGTGTTATAAGCTTCTTTTATGTTTATAGACCTCTCTTTCTTTAGGTTGGGAAGTTTTCTTCTATGAATTTGTTGAAAATATTTTCTGGGCCTTGGAGCTGGGAGTCTCTCCTTTTTCTATTATTCTTAGGTTTGGTCTTTTCATGGTGTCCCAGATTTCTTGGATGTTCTGTGTCAGGAGCTTTTTAGATTTAACATTTTCTTTGACTGAGCTATCGTTTTTTTTTTTTTTTCAATCATATCTTCTACCCCTGAGATTCTCTCTTTTATCTCTTGTATTCTGTTGGTGATGCTTGTGCCTGTAGTTCCTGTCCTCTTCCCTAGGTTTTCTATCTCCAGGAATGCCTCAGATTGTATTTTCTTTATTGCTTCTAGTTCCATTTTTTAGGTCTTGAATACTTTTACTCATTTCCTTCTCAAGTTTGATTGTAGTTTCCTATATTTCTTTAATGGATTTGTTCAATTCTTTCACCTGTTTGATTGTATTTTCCTGTGATACTTTGAGAGCTTTATTGTTTTCCTTTAAGGCTGCTATCATTTTCATAACTTCAGATTTAAAATCTTTTTCTTGTGTTTCAGATGTAATATTATCTCCAGGTCTTGCTGTGGTAGGACCACTGGTTTCCTGTGGTGTCAGATGGCACCGAGTTTTGTTGCTTGCGTTCAAACCCTGGCCTCTAGCCATCTGGCCCAGGTAGGCCAACAGGTGGGAGCAGGTGGTGAGATATTCAAGCCTAATGCTGCTCTGATACCCCACAGGGCTCCTTGGGGTGGGGGACAATGGGGCTTGCCGTCCGTGTCCCAGGTGGGACAGGCAGATGGGAAACAGGCAGAAAGATCTCTAAGCTGAGAGCTGTGTGGTCCAGCATCACACAGGCCTCATTGGGATGGAAGGCTTGGATTTCTGCTCAACTCACCTCTACTGGGCTGGGTCTCTGCATGAATTCTTATCCTTAAGACATGTTGATCGTTCATCTTCTTTTCCTCCTCCCCTTCTTCTTCCTTCTCCTTCTTTCCTCCCCCACTAAACACTTTCAGTCTTTAAAGATGAGATAGATGTAGTGTGCTTCTGAATACAGCCAGTTTGTACCTTTTAAATGGTGAGTTGGGACTATTTGCATTTAGTATCATTATTGAGAGTTCGCTATTTCTATGTTTGTTTTGTTGTTTTGGAAGGGTATGGATTAGGGATTTGCTGGTCTACTCTGTTGGACTTGATGGATTATTTCCTAGGTCTCCTGTGCTCATCTATTACTCTCATGAAATAGTGCTCCTTTTGTGCTCTGGGTGATGAAACCCTCTGTGAATAGTATTTTCTCTGGTGCTGGCTTGAACTGCGTTGCCTTACTTTGTACTTATCTTGAGATGTTCTTATTTCTCCAGTAATTTTAGATGCTTTTTGCTGAGTATACCAATGTTTGGCAGATACTTGTAGGGTTTGAAATACATCATCTTATGCTTTTCTTGTTTTTTTTTTTAATCTTTGAAAACAGATACTCTTTTCATAGTAAAACTGAGAAAGTTTTTTTTTTTTCCTTTTTCTCCAATGGCATTAAATATTGTTAGTTTTGCCATGTTGACTGTGGCTTACTGGAGAGTGGTTCTCTCGTTATGCCTAGATGGAATTCTAAATGCCCTTTATGTTTGAATGTCTATTTTCTGTCCAGGTTTGTGGAACTTTCTGCTATAACCTCATTGAATAAATTGTTTTATCTCATTCCATGGCATGACTGCCCCTATCGCAGACCACTTCTAACGTCCTTGTGTAGTCTGCTGAGGCATGGTGAGAGCAGTGCCTCAAGGAGAATCTTAGCCTTCTGTACCACAATTTTGTTTTCATCTCTGCAGCTCGTTGTAGCCTGGCTTTTCTGCACACACTGCATTTCCACAGCCCTCATTGCATCTCCACAGGCTGGGTGGCCTTCTTCAGGTTGCTGTTCTGACTGTGTGTGGGCGCAGGTATAGCACCCCTCGGTAGCTGCTGCTGACCCTAGCCTGCTGGAAAACATGCGCTAAGGGCTTGGCTGCTTTTTGTTGTGGAGAAAAATCCTATTAAGCCTGATCTTTTCTTTTTCTTAAGTTTTTCTCTGCATTTTTTTCTTTTAAATGCTGACTCTTCTTTTACAATAATGTCATAGAGATGGTTTCTACTTGATAATTTTATCTGAAGCCTTGTTTTTTGAGATCTTTGTAATTCTCTTTCTCAAGTCAACTCATCTAGTAGGGCTTGCCTATCAGATTTGGTGTGCGACCTAACAGGAAACTTCTCAGCATTCATGTATTTTGATAGTCTATGCTCAGTCATTCCATTTTGGGAGCAAAGATATAAAATACTTCCTTTAAACTTGAAAATTCTAGGCAGCAATAATCCCAGTTCTTGTGGTAGAGAAAGAGTAAGTCTTCAGGGTACCCATTTTATTCTCTCTGAGTAACAGACTATTTCAGAAGGTTTTAGCCAGTTTATTCAGTTCTTATACAAGAGGCTGCAAAGAAGAATATCTAAATTTAAGTTAATGTAATCTAAAACACGGATAAAACAAGTAGCATCTAAATCTTAATGTCTGCAAATCTGCATCTTATATTACTATGTGAGGTAAAAATCTAAACACTACTTTTACTTTGACAAATGAAAATACTGAAAAACACGTTTAAGTCAATTAAAATTGTCTATGTGCCCTGATGTTGTCCAATAGGTATTCAAAGAACAATATTCTAGTCTAATAGTATCAACAGTGTGTATAGGCTGAGATTTCAAAACCAAAGTCTGCAAATATTCCTTCGTCTTCTGCCAATTCTACAAGAATATTTCACATTGTACAGAGATGAAGCTCCAGGGGTTTACTGTATTTGAAAAGGAAAAAAAGAAATAATGCAACACAAAGGTAGCTCAGAAATAAAGCAGGGCTTAGGGAAGGCAGCACACACTGTGAGTGATTTCTTAGTTTCACAGGAAAGTTTGTTTATGAGAAGACCTCATAACCAAAATGAAAGCAACTGAAGCAAATGCTTTACCCAAATTTATTATTCACAGTATAAAACTTACTGGGAGTAATTAAAAAAAAAAACAAAAATCTTATTCTTGGGTTGACAAATTAGAACTTTCTGATTCAGTGTTATGACATGCAAAGTACACTATAAAGAAGAGAGCTATTAACATTAGATTGAGTGCTCATTAAAAGTAAACTTCTGTTTCTTTGCAATTTGGGAAGAATTTACTGTTTCTGTGTGTATACATTGCAGAAATATAATTAAAAACATTTGTGAAAGTGGATTTGTCCTTCCTACCTAGCTGAAACAAATCTGTTTTCATAGTTTCTGAATCCCTTTGAAACCCTTTGAACAGTGGTTAAATTTATACAGAGTCCACTCAATAAACCCCAAGAAGTCAGTAGTCATAAGAAACTGTCATACTTCACAAATTACCTTCAAAGCACAGATATCCTGGTGTGTGTATAAAGTCAAATGGTTTCTCCCACCAGAATGCTCTAAACATGAAAGAAAATCTCATACACACATCAAATTGAGCTGATATTTCTTTTGGCATATGGACAAACCAGTCCACGTCATTCCAGGAATACAATGAAAAAGCACAATTTCTGATACAATGGGGACTGTTATGAATAAAACATAACTTGTTTGGTAAACAAGATTTAAAAATATAAAAAGGAGAAACAATTTCGCTATTTTCCCCTAGAAAACTGTGAGTAAAAACTTAAGGCCACAACTCATTATGTATGAAATGGTTAACTGAAAGGGGGCTCAGGCTTCCTGAGCGAAAGAAAGCTCCGCAGTCAGTATTTCTCCGTGGGACTGTTAACTGCAGGATGACATTTTATTTAACAGACAGCATGGACTTTGTACATGTCTATCATCAGTGCCTTGAAAACCAAACAATTTAAAAGTTAGCAGCAGTTTCTGCAAGGTACAAAAATACACATTTGTTACATAACACGGTAATAAAATTTGTCAAGATATATTATACAAACTCATAGCATTTGAGATAAAGAATCAGTCTAATATATTATAGATTGATGGAGTCCAATAAAATGACATGTCTGTCTTCAAATCATACAATACTTTACAGCAATATCAACAGACTATTCACATTAAGTATAATGGGAGCATCTAAGGAAACAGAGTCCGAATGGTTGGTGGTGAACCTTACCAACTATTTTCTTCTATGCTTCAAACTGGGTGGACGATTTTCTACTGGCCATTATGAAAGAAAAAAGAAAGCCAGAATGCTTAGTTTGTTTAGGAAGCATTTCTTCTGGAGAGACATTCTAAGCTATAAGATCTTCATCCACATCTTGCAATTCTGACAGTAGTATGCCCCAAAGGGAAGGGTCGTCCTGCTAACTTTATATACTAATAGCACAAAAGGTACATGTGGATACTTCGGAGTCTTCATATGGAAGTGGTTGGTTACATCTGACTGAGATTGCCAGTGTCATGAAGGAGATCACTGGACACAGAGTTCTAGAGATAATTAAGACCAGGGAAAACAGGGCCATGCCCAAGAGGTAGGTGGCACTTCTGTAGTTAATACTGAGATAAGTCCATACCCTATAACCGACAATGTGACCTTTAGGAGACATGAACAACATCTGCCATGAGTTTCCTGGTGACTGGTAGGAAAAATAATTTGGGGTAAGCTAGTTTTTGAGTGAAAAGTCCTTTTTTACAGTGGATTCAAGAGACTGCACAGACTCTAGGAAACTTGTAATAGGTATCTCAAGGGAAGATATTTATCTATTTTAGGGTGTATCCTTCCATCTCATACTGGCTGGCAAGATCTTACTCCTAAGAAAGAAGACATACTGGTACAGCCTTGAAAGTAAAGAGAGAGAAGAAATGTCCATGATAAAATATGATGGTCTAAACTTTAATATTTATAAACTCCAGATCATTTGGAAAAGATAGAGAACTTCAGCAAAAAAAAAAAATATATATATCCAAAGACAGTGACCATCAGAGACAGCCCAACAGCAACTTCATTCTGTGCTCTACTCAATAATCGCTTACAGCCTGTCAGTCTCTAATCAATAACAATCTGTAGAATAAAGGGATAATTAACAACTGTTCTTTTTCTCCTCTTGGCTGACTGTAATCTAACAATCAGGGCTGCAGAGAAACATTTCCACAGGGATGTCATATTGATAAATAATACTTATGGAACCAAGAAGGGAATGTTGTTGTCGAAGACTGCCATCTTTCATAATGAGAAAGTTGGGACTTAGAGAAAAGTTTCACATGGTAACCTGCCCTTAAGTCTAAGCCAGTGAGCAGCCCTTTCTGTGACATCTTATGTATCACAGGATCCAACCTTCTGATCTGGATACATATCTACACACATTTTCTTACCAATTCCAGCGCAGTAAAAGGCCTTTCTCAATTGCATGAATGCTGCTATTGACATGGCACAAAGCATGGCATCTCTTGCTTCTCTGAAGCCTTTCCTCAGATTAATCAGCCAGGAAAAGTTGATTTTGAAATAATTTCTCTAATTCTTATATGGCTATTTTTTTTTTCCTACGCTACTTGAACAAATGCCGTCAAGCATGCTCTTTTCGGAGGAGGGATAAGTTACGTTTCTGTAGCGCATCTTTACCACAGGCGCTGTGGGAAGGACAACAAAATGATCAAACATCCCCTTTGTATTTCCATTTCTGAAAAATACAAATGAACTCAACTCTAACAGAAAACAAGACAAAACAAAAAACACCTCAGTCAACTAAGCCACCCAATTGCGAGTTGTGCTGTCATGACACCCATACTCTTTAATCTTTAAGAGTGGTTTTCTCTTCTTTTATCAATGAGGTGGTCCCTAAAATGACCCCGTGCAGACAGGTGACTGGGAAAAGCCACTGACTTGGATTCAGGGATAGGCTTTGCTTTCCTTAGTGAATGTACATGCTTTTCTGAATGACTTGGTGACCCCTTTCCTTGCTTACTTATTCCATGGCATAAAGATGGCTTCTCTCTACTGATCCTTTTTACATATCACTAAGGTACTCTGGTCCTCCCAAGACACCAGACTCACAGACTGTTGACACAGCAGGGTTATTCCACAGAGGACACTTCCTCTGACTTTCTGTTGGTATCTATGTCTCAGGAAAGGACTAACCCACCCTTTCACAGGAAATGCCTTTCAAAACTTTAGAGCATGAAACATCTCAACAAAGAAACTGTCATATTAGCAATGATTGTCCTTGTGCTACCTACCTACCCCATGTGTCTTATAAAAGGGGGCACACTAGCTACTGTCTTTATTTTTTATTAGCCCAGTTCCTGTTCTTAAAGACATCTGACTATTTTGATGCCAGATTCTTATTGCAGGTTAAATGTCTTTGGTTAAATGTCTGTCTCCATCACCACAAACTGTCATAGACTCTGCATCTGGGCTGGCCACATCCTCCCTAGTCCCAAGGCTTGGTGAGGCTCTTTCCCAAGAGTTATTAGAAGGGTACTGCCCTCCACCCTCTTCTCCTTCATGCAACTTCATACAAAGTTTGAGTCTGCTTTCCACCAGGTGGAACGGGGAGCTGGAGTGTTGCTCTGAGTCCTGACAGGCATAAGAACTGCACCCATGGGCTGTCTGTATCGCTCCAGAACTTTCATCCATCTGTAGGTGTATGTCATCCAGACTTTCTTGTAGAGAGTCAGTCTCTGGAGGACCAGAAGCATGTGGAGGTAATTCCAAAGGTTCTTTTAGGGAACAGATTTTCATGTCTTCCGGTCTGGCTGCTTTTGTTTTCTTTTTGAGGGACCAGTTTTTCAAAGTGACCAAACCACTTCTCAACCATGCGCTGGGGTGAAGGGTTACAGAATGCATTTGTGATGGTTGCTCCGTGGAACCCTTTCTTAAATAAGCTAGGTGGCTGCTGGTCTGCCCCGTGGAGGGACCAGGCATTCCAGAAATGAGGCTGGGACTGTGAAAGTCTGAAGAAAGCTCTTCCTGTTTTCTCCCTGCCTGGAAAGTGCAGTCTATGGGCGAGGAAGTTTCGGTGGGTGTAAACACAGAGTGCTCTGAGATCTGAGAAAAAGCGCTGTCCTGGGAGCTCACCGACGAGCCGGATGGAGACGTGCCTGGGGAGGATAAGCTCGAATAGCTAGCCCTTGGGCAAAGGTTTAGTCTTGGGGGCAAAACCTTCTCAGTGCTTTGCTGGGTGCCGCTGCTCTTGCCCACCTCAATCCCCATGACCAAACTCTGATTAATGAGTTTTTGCCCCTCGATTTGCAAAGACTTATGCCTTTTTAGATACTCCTCTTCTCCATGCAAGAGGCCAGCCTCACAGCTAGTTTTATGCTGTTTCTTTGAGTAGATCCCCCTGAGATAGGACAGCTTGTAGTTGTGGTCATCGATGCTGGGTTCTGAACAGCGCCGATGTACCCGGGAGCTCTTCCGGGCATCTGCTGCGTGTGGCGGGGAGAACCCGCCCGTATCTGCATCGAAGGGTTGCTTCCTGGAATGATCCTGGGAGGACACGTGGCTGTAAGATGCCACAGAAATGGCCACTGGCTTGGACTTAGTGAAAGGTGTCACTTGATTTCCTTCATGACCAGACGAGCTTTTCTTCTTTATGTTTTCGTTAGTAGTGTTTCTCTTACTGATGTCAGTGCCTCCAACTGAACTCTGTTGAAGGCGCATCTTACCCTCTTTCTTCAGGGACTGGGTCTGCCCCAGGTAATCTTCTTCCTTCCGAGAGAGCACGGCATCGCAGCTGGACTTGCGTAGCCTTTTCTGGTAAAACTCCCGGAGGTAGGAGAGCTTCGTGTCTAGATAGTCGATGCTGGGCTCTGAGCAGCGCCGGTGCCTCCGCAGGACTTTGGGGGCGTCTGCTGCAGCTGTGGGCAGGCAGCTGGGTGTACCGGGGCCAGCTGGGGTCCTGGTGTCCTCCCCCACTGAGACCTTCCTGTAGGCTACGAAGACACTCACTGGCTTGGACTCCAGGGGTTGTTTCAGTTGAATGTGTTCGTCTTTAGGCTGATCCAAGTCGAAGTCGCTCAGGGTTAGAAGGCCTTCCACCTCAGGCTGTTCGAGGTCATAGTCACTGAGGGTTAGGACAGAGTCCATGCTTCTGCTCCCCTGGCCGAGTTTCTTCACCAGGTCACTGCACGGAGCATCGGCATCCTCATTGAGCTCGTTTTCCAAGCTGTCATAGGAGGAGTCATTCATCTGGAAGCAAGACATATCTGTAGGCAGAAAGGAAACCATGGTCAACAGCCTCACAAATCCAACCTGTACTGCCTTTAAGGCACACCAGCAAGCTCTGTTATTTACATGTACAGAGTTCAAATTTCTACCCTTCAAGAAGGAAAGAATCTTAAAAAAAAAAAAACAAAACCCTATTTACTCACTTTACAGCCCAATCATAGCTCCCTCCCTCCTCTCCTCCCAGTCCCACCTTTCTTCCCTCTTTCTCTTAACCCCCCTCCACTCCCCCTCAGAAAAGGGGAGCCCCCCCCCAGCACATCAAGTCGTATCAGGACTACACACATCCTCTACCATGGTGGCCTGGCCAGGCAGCCCTGCAATGGGGGGAGTGACCAAAAAGAATGTAAATGAGGCCTTGTTTGAGTCAGCTCCCTTCCCCTTGCTAGAAGACACACATGGAGACCAAGCTGTCCATTATGTACATATCTGGTGGGGGCCTAGGTCCAGTCCATACATGGTTTTAATTTTTTTTATTTAAAATCTTCAAAAAAATTTAATTTCTGAGTAGTATTCCATTGTTGTAAATATACCACAATTTCTGTATCCATTCCTCTGTTGAGGGACATCTGGGTTGTTTCCAGAATCTGGTTATTATGAATAAAGCTGCTACGAACATGACTGAACAAATGTCCTTGTTGTGTACTTGAACATATTTTGGATATATGCCTAGGAGTGGTATAACTGGATCTAGAGGTAGCGCTATTTCTAATTATCTGAGAAAGTGCCAGATTGATTTCCAAAGTGGGGAATGAGGAGAGCCTTACCAGGCCACAGAGGAAGACAATGCAGCCAGTCCTGATGAGACCTGATAGGCTAGGGTCAGATGGAAGGGGAGGAGGACCTCCCCTATCAGTGGACTAGGGGAGGGGCATAGGGGGAGAAGAGAGAGGTTAGGGTGGGATTGAGAGGAGACAAGGGAGGGGGCTACAGTGGGATACAAAGTGAACAAATTGTAATAAATAAAAAATAAAAAATTTATAACTTTGTGTATGGAGGGAGCTGGCAGCACATGCAGGCCAAGGCACACATAAAAAGGTCGGACGGAGGACGATTTGCTGGAGTTGGTTCTTTCCTTCCACCATGTTGGTCCCCAGCAATAGGATATTAAACTCAGGCTGTCAAGCCTGATGGGGGGTGGTGGCAGGGTAAGCACCTTTACACACTAAGTCATCTTGTCTACCTGAATCTTTTCATTACCCCAAATGTTAGTGTTGAAGGCAAAACTCTTTTAGGGGGCATGAATGCTAGATTCATCTCTGTTTCCAATGAAGTGACTTTTTCCTAAGGTGAGGCGTTTCTCAAAGCAACAGATATGTCATAAAATGGACAAAAAATGAAAAGTGAGTAAACTAGTGTGAAGCTGACCTGGATTCTGGCTAAGAGTCCGTCTTCTGATGCGAGTGTGCCACATACAATTATACAAAATACCAGCAGACTCTGTGAGACCTTTCATAAAGCTCTCTGGGGTTAGACCATTACTTTAACTCTTGTAATTATTATAAAGATGAAACATTGTTTATATTTCATAGATGGAATAATGAGGCTTGGTGGCACAATATTATGGACTGAAGGAAGAGTAGTAGTAATTGGTAGTAAGGAAGTTATTTTTAGGGAGGTTGTATATCTATGAATTCAGAACCTCCCCTCACCTCAAAGACGCTAGTTGTTTCAAATTGGGTCAAAGCACAATTAGAATTCTGAGGTCTTAGAATTCACTAGGAGTTGAGGGGCTAAGAAGCTCCCCCCCCCAAATCAGGACCTCCCCTACTGCCTCCGAACCTTTGATTCCAGTTTCAACAACAGTAGTTCTAATATATATTAGAATTTCTTTTTTTAAAAAGGGCACAAATCTTTAGTGTACAGATTGCAGGCTTAACCCACGTGTATCTCAGCTCCATCACACTGACTTCTCAGCAGGCCCTCTGGAGGAAGGAATGAAAGCTTTGGTCCCTGCTGACCCAGGTCAGAGGCTCTGGAACAACCAGCCTCGGCGTCTTCATAGACAAAGATCTAGTTCTTACAGTGCTCTTCACAGTACCTGAGGTATGTTCTCTGTCGCTTCTCTCAGAAAGCTCCCCCAAGAGCGAAGTGATTTCTTCTCCAAATATCCTACAGCAATTTTCAATTAGAAATTGTATAAGAAGCGAAACCTGTGCCCAATGAAAGAATTCAAGTGTTATTATTCATATGTGTTTATTATGTCACACTTCATATACACATCCTGATCTTAACCACAAAATTCAAAATAATAGAGAAAAGTATATGAAAAGAATACAAAAGCCCCACTGCCAATTGATAATAATTTAAAGAGCAGTCTGGCCACAGAACTGAATCTGAGTCAGCAGATAACAGTTATCTGTAGCCTTGGTTTAACACTAATGTTTTATATCATATAGCTATGCCTTTTAAAGCAGGACAACTTCAAGCAACCTCCATAGGTGTTTGAGGTATAGACACATACTGTGTTATTAAAATTTATCAACTATCAGTACTGAGGACTCACACAAGAAATTCTTGTGTAAAGGGCAAGTTGCTGTAATTTTGGAAGAAGACTCCTCTGTGGGTACAGAAGGAAGGAGAGGGACAGGCAGACTCTAACTGGTGTCAGCATGGCCCCCTACCACACCCCCTAAGCGGAGGTGCCTGAGGGGAGAGGAGCGTTTAAGCTGGCTCCATGCTGCCACCGAGATGGACGAGCACTGACCTATGGCTGATTCGCCTCAGCAACTGAGAAATGGTGAGCGTGAAGCAAACTGGTGCCCGGAACTCCTGATCAACAGTGGCGCCCCAGGGGTGGGACCTCAGTCTCCACTGTATCATTAAGGAAGGAACCACGGTGAGGATCTGCTCTCAAGATGGTGTCCCTGGCAAATGTTGCCGCTGAGAACTGAACTCTGGCTGGTCTGAGCTCTAAGGCGCAGGTTTTAATGAAGTGCCTTCTTAGAACTTGTTCAGCCAGTCTCCTTAGAAGGAAAAGTGAAGTAACAGTGGATCTTTTTCTCTCCCTTCTGTTTGATGTCACCTAGCTATAGTCTACCAGGACAGAATGACCAACAAACCCATATAGAGAAATCTACTTTAGATATTTAAGAGCCTGTGTTTAAGAATGCTGTGAGTTTCAAATGTTTCAGAATGGGGAATGAGGACTTGGGATATAAAAATAAAAAAATGTCATTACCTTTTTTGTAAATTCATTTTCTAGTTCTGGGCTGGAGGAAGTAGGAGGCCAAAGAATGCTTGGAGCGATACACACTGCTAAGTTAAATGCAGTCATCTGATTAGATAAGGAATGTTGTTCAATGTTGTGTAATACCCCAAACAGATACCTTAGGAAAACAACATTGGCTCTGGGAAGCTGATCTAATAGCCTAAAGACAGAAAAATGCAGGACGTTTTATTAAGAAACGTGTAAAGACAGGCAGTTCTCCCTTCACCCGCATGGGAGCCATGCAAATCAAACAGGCAAATCGGGAGCACAGTGCGGATCTATGAGAGGTTCAGCCGACTGCCGCGTGTGCAGCAAGGGCCGCTTACACAGAAGGTGAGCACTGGCAATGACTTGTCCCATCTTGTCTTTATAACTCAATGAAAATATAGAAGAATGCATGAAATATGTTGCCTGCTATTATTCCCAGGAAACGTAGTACAGTATGTTTTAACTCAGGCAACTCCTGCAACATTTCATAGTATTTCCTAGCGAACCCACGAAAGGCATCCTGGAAAGACTAAAGTGCTCCTTTACTTCAAGCAGCAAGGCAGCAGTGCTCTTTCTTGGTGACAACCCAGGTCTTAGCCACAAAAATTTCCAGGTTTGTTCTGGGAGCCATGTTCTCCCCAACCCAGATTCCAAAGGCACTTGTGCCCCCGGCCTGTCTTTATTGGTACCATTCTCTCAATAGTCAAGCTTGTATTATGTTTCCCGCTGTTCTCATTTAACGTAAGTGACTAGGTTTTAAATGATTATTCACTGAAAATTACTTTTACTACCACCCAGAACACACACGCATACACACACACACACACACACACATACTCTCTCTCTCTTTCTCTGTGTGTGTATGTATATATATGTATTTCTATAACAGTGTACAACTTTAGGAAATAAGGTACTTTGACACCTGTTGCACAAACAGCAGAGGCCTTTCTTCGGTATCATGGGCTGACAGTGACTCCAGATCAGACCCTGAAATCAACCAAGAGATGATCTGGATGTATTCAGTAGGAGATAAAGCTTCTAGCCCACGCTTTCAGGTCATCTGATTCTGTAAGCATGCTAAGCCTTTAGGCTACTTCAATATGGAGCCGTAGGTAGCAATAGTATCCAATACTTGCTTATGGAATTAAATTCTGTCTGGCAGAAAGGACAACTGACTGATCAGCATCCATGGCCCAGAAAAAAAAGAGACAATTCTGTATATCTGCAGATTTACACCAGCACGCATGACTCAGTTACTGAAAGCTGGGGTATTCTGTAATCTGCTATGTGTGGGTTGTATGGAACATCTTACTGGTCCTGTCATAAAATAACTTACACAAATTAAATAAACAAAAGCTTTTGCTTAAGTGTCATAATTTCATATTAAAATTAAACAAGTGATATTTGGGATCCAAGATTTTCATAAACTAGACTATTGTAATTTTTTTAATGCACACTTCTTTCCTACATAGTCTCTTATGATGTAGGAAATACTCATGAACATGAGCTGAAGAATCCTACAAGGAATCTCACTGGTTGGCTTTAGATAGTGCAGTTTTTTTTCTCCTTTCTTTCTTTCTTTCTTTCTTTCTTTCTTTCTTTCTTTCTTTCTTTCTTTCTTTCTTTCTTTCTTTCTTTCTTTTCTTCTTCTTCTTCTTCTTCTTCTTCTTCTTCTTCTTCTTCTTCTTCTTCTTCTTCTTCTTCTTCTTC